TACAACTAGCCTAGTAAAATCGACAATACGACAGTACTAAGTATTTCAGATTCACCTCTGCCATTTTATGTTGTTATTCATGAAACTGCAGTAAACATAATAGAGACGACAGTACTATCATAATTTCACACGTGTCCTTAATGAGTACTTTCACTAATGAAACTACAACTAGTCTAGTAAAGACGACAGTACGATAGTACTAAGTATTTATTTATTCACTTCTTCCATTTTATGTTTTTATTTATGAAACTGCAGTAAACCTAATAAAGACGACAGTACTATTATAAATTCACACGTGTTTTTAATGAGTACTTTCACCGATGAAACTACAACTAGCCTAATAAAGATGACAGTACGACAGTACTGTGTATTTCAGATTATGTTTTAAAATCACATCTTTCATGAATTTTTTATTCATGAAACTGCAACAAACCGAATAGAGACAATAGTATTATTTTGAATTCACACATGTCTTTCATTCGTATTTTTATTGCTAAAACTACCACTAGCTTAGTATAGACGGCCGTACTAAGTATTTTAAATTCATATTTTCTAATTATTTTTTCATTCACGAAACTGCAACTAACCTAATAGATACGACAGTCCTATTTTAATTTCACACATGTCTTTCATCAGTATTTTTATTGATGAATCCACAACTAACATAATAGAGACGACAGTGCTATTTTAAATTCACACCTCTCTTATATTGATATTATTATTTATGCAACTGCAACATACTTAGTATAGACGACATTACCAAGTACACTTTACAGTATTGAAGGAGACGTATATATACGTTTGAAGACTTTAATATTTCAAGTTCGAATTTTATATTTATTAGATGTGTTTATGTCAACCAGTATTGTGGTTACGGCTCGAACTGCAACTACTCAGTAGTTAATAGTTGAGTAGAAGTTGAATAAACGCTTATGGTTTTAAATCCACGCATATCTTTGACTATTATATAGTTATTGATGAAACTGCAACCAGTTTAGTTTAGTCGACATTACTAAGTACACTCCACAGTAGTGAAGGAGACAAAAATACGCATTTGACAAATATAATAGCATCAGATGTGGTGGTATCCTCTAGAACTCTAATAAAATCTCGATATGCGACTACTCATTAGAAACGGGAACAGCAAGGGTGAAGAAATAAACGTGAAGAATTTTAAATCCACATCTATCTTGTATCAATGTTGTTGATATCAGCAACTACCCTAGTAGAGACAACGGTACTAAGCACACTCTACAGTAGTAAAGGAGACGTGAATATACGTTTCACATTTTCTATAGTACAGATTTTTCAAATTTCAAAATTGTTTTATTAGAATTGTTGGTATCGTCCAGAGCTCTGAAAATTGCTAGAACTGAAAATACTCAAGAGCAACGGTACCATGTAGAGAAGAAGTAATAAACGTGCATGATTCTGAATCCACTTGTCTTCTGTCAATATTGTTGTCAATAAAACTAAAACTACCATAAAAAAAAACGAGGCCAGTACTTTGTATAATCTACAGTAGTAAAGATGACGTAAATGTGCGTGACATTTTTTGTAGAACGTATATTTCGAAATTTAAATTTGTGTTTATTAGATGTATGTGCTTGTATTATCCAAAACACTGATTTCAGCTCGAACTGAAATCACTCAGTAGAAACGGTAACAGTAGAGAAGGAAATATTTAACACATATCATTACTGTTGTTGATGAAACTGCAACTATCTCACTAGAGACGACACTACTGAGTTTAATTTGCAGTAGTAAAAGTGACGTAAATATACGTTTTGCATTTTTTTTATATTGCGGATACTTCACAAATTTCATATTTTTATTATTCTTGTATCTGTATATTCCAGGATTCTGATAAAAGATCAAACTGGAACTAATCAGTAGGAACGGCAACAGTCGAGAAGAAACAATAATAAAGGTGTATGATTTTGAGTCCATATCTGCCTTTCATATGTTGGTATCATACAGGACTCTGATTACAGGTCTAGCTGAACTGTTAGTAGAAACGATTTTGAATCCACACCTCTCGTTCATTGATATTGTTATTGATGAAACTGCAACTATTTTAATAGAGACGACATTACTAAGTACACTACAGTTGTGAATAAGACGTTGGTATACGTTTAAATAACAGTTATAATAGTACGGATACTTCAATTTTCATATTTGTGTTTTTTGTATGTGTCATATCATCTAGAACTCTGATAGCAGATCGAACTGCGACTACTCAGTAGAAACGGCAACAGTAGAAAAGAAGTACTAAACGTAGACAATTTTAAATCCGCATCAATATTGTTTTGATAATATCACAACTACCCTACTAGAGCCTACAGTTGTACTAAGTACATTCTACAGTAGTGAAGGAGAGAAAATATACGTTTCGCATTTTCTATAGTATGCATATTTCCTATTTCAGATTTGTTTATATTAGATGTGTTTTTATCATCCGAACACTGATCGCAGCACGAACCGCAATTACACAGTGAAAAACGGCGATAGTAGGAGGAGAAGTAATCAAGCACAATACTAAATACAACTCTGTCTTTTTATCCATATATTAGTGTTAATAAAACTTTGACTGCTATAATGAACACGACAGTACTTAGCAAAACGTAGAGAACGAGACGTAAATATACATTTGGCATTTTTGATAGTATGGATGTTTCTAATTTCATATTTGTGTTCCATAGTTGTGTTTCTATAATCAAAAACTCTGATATTAGCTTAAACTGCAACTATTTAGTAAACCGACAACTGTAGGATAAGTAATAAACGTATGTGATAAACGAATATACATACACACACACACACACACACACACACACACACACACACACACATACATATATATA